TGAGCCTTTAAGCTCTGGCTGAGGGGAGTAAATTGCAAAAAAGGCAAGACAAGGCAGAGATGCAGTGAGCATCCTAGCAGGCACAAAGGGAGTGAATGCAAAGGGATCAAGTAAGGACCTCTGAGATCCAGTCCAGTACAAACTATCTGTTACATGCCTGACCCTGCATGCAAAGTATTCTGGCAGTGACATTACAATGAAAGATACCAGTGAGCTCCAAAGTGCAATGTTAAGGTGCAGAACAGTATTCTAAGTGGATCAAAGATGTTCCATGATAATGCAGTGAGGCTGGTATGTGTCCAATACCAACAATTGGGGATGGGGGAAGTGCAGATACTGAGCGTGGAGTGTGCACTGAACTGCTAGTGACTGCTGTCCAAAATAGAAGACCAGAGGAGGAAGTAGTAAGCTGCAGTCGCCAGGTTCTTGCTCTGACTTGTAGGTCGGGAAATGTCACTGTTTCTATCCAGTGGGTGAGAGAATGGGAAACAGCTTATAAAGGACATGAGATGAGCTAATAATGAGATGATAGTAGTTGCAAATTCGTGCAAATAGACGTCTCACCACTCACTAGTGCGATTCTCATCTCACCATTCAGCACTTGATTGGTCAATGGGACATCTTATCCCAGCATGGAGAATCTCATTGCTCCCAATCTCACTCAATTTTCCCAACTTTCTTGCAGATGTCTGTGTTGTTCAGGGGTTCATAAGATTCCACTCAGTAATACATGGAAACAAACATACTGGAGGTCTACTTTGAAGTATACAGGATGAATTGGACCATGATGTTGCAATTGCGAGTTTTACTACTTGTTCCTACTGGGATGTCAGTTGTGCTAGTCCCCAGTGGACCCAGTAATGCGCTGGCCTAATCCTTTAACCCTTTTATGTCTAAGCTTCTGGCTGATTTATACTTTCCTATTTTTTTTCCAAACCTCCCATTCATGAGCCTGTGTGCTCCATGGATTGCCTGGGATGGCTCTGAGAGTAGCCGATTTGCTTCGTCTGAGCTGCTCCTTTGTCCATGACTTTGAGTTTGTCCCATTGCACGCTGCTCCAGATTGGTGCTCACTTCTGTCTGATCTCCAAGCCGATTTTTTAACCTTCTGTTTCTTCCAAAACATCCCTTCGCATCCCAATGAATCACAAAAACTGTTCACTTTCTCCTTGACCTCATGGTTCACTTCAGTTGATGCATTCAATCCTTTGTTTTTTAATCCGCAACATTCCCATTGCTTTATCCACTGTTTTGTTGTATGTTTGGGATTGGACTCTGAAGGTACTGCTGCTGGATTCCACAGAACTTTCTGTAAGAACTCTTTATTGACAGCTTGATCTAAACATACATTTTTCTCTAGACCCTACTAGAGCTTCTCTTTCCAGTTCTCGTTACATATGCATGGGTCATCATTATCATTGCACCATTACACATCATCATTATATCAGCTGCTGAATTTAGCCCGATGACTCTACAGAACATACGACTTCAGACTGGATTGAGAGTAATGAGCACTTATTGTTTTTGATGTTTGTTAAATTTCATTCAAAGACCTCAGACCTTCTAGAGCTGATAAATTGACAATCTGTGTTGAACATCCTGAAAAATGACTGCAGTGCCATTCGTACAATTAATTAAATGAAAAGGGTACATTTTGGATGAATGCAGATTCAGACTTGAGTTCAAGAGTTGAAGAAATAGCATGCTAAAGAATCTATATGGCCGTGATGAAGATTCTAAACAATCCTTGTAGCGTATGCTATTCATAATGTTTGTCTTACTGATGCTTATCAGAATATTCATTATTGACACAGTTGGCTTCAATCTGCTGCCATTTCCTTAATTTTAGAGTACTCTTATGATGCAAATGAATAAATGACACATTGTTCAGAATAGAAAGAGAAGAAAGCTAAGACATTACCAGTGCATTTCATTAAAGAACTGAGATGAGGCACAATTTTTAATGTTAAGGAAGTAAACCTTTATTTTAAGAATTGCATTTTAAAGAGAACATTCACAATAGAAATATGTGAGAATTTTATTAATGTTTCATATCATGTTTGGTTTTGACTGGCACATTTTTATTAAGGTAGCTGTTTTAAACTCATTTTCCTTGTGTTCCAAACTGATTGATTGCTGCTGGTGAGACCATCAGACCAGATTATTAAAGAAGGCACATGGGAATTTGAAGTAGCAATATTCATGCAAAACTTTCTTTACGTGGAAACATTTTTAAATTGAACAAAAAGCATATAAATGAGAAAATTAATAAATGTGACTGAGAAGTAAAAGTCTTAAAATCTTACGAAAGAAAAACACTTGCATTTATATAGCACCTTTCATGACAGAAAACTATCACAAAGTGCTGACAGCCAATGTAATATATTTTGAAGTGAGTCACTGTTGTAATATAGGAAATGCAACAGTCAATTTATGCACAAGTTCCCACAAAACAATAATGTGGTTATGACAAGATAATCTGATTAGTGATGTTGATTGATGGTTCAATATTACTCAGGACACCAGGAATAATTTCTCTACTCTTTGAAGTAGTGCCTTGGGTTTCCTAATGCACAACGATGTTGCTTTGGTCTGATGTTTCATTTGAAAGACAGGACCTCCAATAGTGCATCACTCTCATATGCATTGATTCCTTGTCACTTACAAATGGTGTGAGGAATAGGATACAGAGAAAATACAGTCAGAATTTGCTGGAGAAACTCAGCAGGTCCAGCAGCATCGGTAGAGAGAAAGCAAAGTTAACGTTTCAAGTCCAGTGACTCCTCTTCAGAACTGTTCAGAATGGTTCTGGAGAAGAGGCACTGGATTCAAGACGTTAACTCTCCTTTCATTCCACAGATTCTGCCAGACCTCCTCGGTTTCTCCTGTCCTTTCCGTTTCTGTTTCAGATCTTCAGCAACCATGGTTCTTTGTTTTATTACAGAGAAAATACATTTGTTGAATAATAATGCACTATTCAATATTATCAAGCTGTAGCTTTATGGAAATTGAATTCATATTTTTGAACAAATCAACCAAAGCATCTAGTGACATCTGCACTGACACTTTTACAATATTGTTTTGATAGGCAGAATACAATTAAGCAACAAAGCTACTTTAAACATTTTTTCTTATGCAGTGAGTTGTTGTAATCTGATTTTGAATACCTCTATCAAATTTATGATCAATCTTCTCTTCTCCACTGAGAACAGTCCCCGCTTCTCCAGTCTATTTACATAATAGAAGTTTTTCATCCCTTGAATCATTCTTGTGTTTTTTAAATGAATCTTTTATAATACTTTTGCATCCTTCCTAAAGTATGCTACCTAGAATTGGGCATTGTTCTTCAGTTGAGACTGTACCATTGGCACATACTGGACTTGAAATGTGAGTTGCTTCTCTGACCATTGAGCTGCTAAGTTTCTACAGTATTTTCTGGCTTATTTCAGAACTCCAGCATCCATGATACTTTGCTTTAAATGAGGCTGTGCCAGTGTTGTAATTAGGCTGAACACCTTGCTTTTGTATTGTGTCCCTATTATGTTCAAGATCTTGAGCAAAGGGAATGAAGTTGTGGTATTTACATGCTCTCTTAAGATTTCATAGAGGTTATGGCCTTTTTATTGAATTCTAAGTGAAATGTTCATGTGATTGGTCTTTGTTACTGCCAAACAACCTCTTAAATCAACATCTATAAATAGTGAATTGCATTCTATCAGATTTTGATTATTGTTTGGAATTCATTTGTCCTTTATCACTCTTAATCTTATGTTTCAATCCTGATCTTTATTTTGCGTTTTATGATTTTACATTGAATTAAATGCAATCTTAATCTAACACTTCCTGTTTTGAACTCTACATGCCTTCCCAGACTGGGAAAGTGTAATTACAATGAATTGTGACACTCTGGATTACAAAATCTAGGCCCTTTAGATGCAACAAAACATGAAATATGGCATTTTCTTCCTTGAAACTGACATGTATAACACACCATTGGATATCTTCTCTGCACTGAAGGGCGCTACACAAATGCAATTTGCAAGGTTACTCTGGATAGACAAATGATAATGAGCTCCTTCATGGGAAAGCATTTTACGATCAGCTCTTGAATTCGTTATTATGCATTAATTCTCCCATCACAACATTAAATTGTTGATTTAAAAAACACTGAAGAGTAGTCCGGCTGCGTTCTTATTCAAAGAATTTCGGCCGCTATCTAAAACATTTCCCCATTCAAGTCCTTTGCAAATTGACATTTGCAGAAAAAGTTGCAAACTCAGACACAACAAGCGTCACAACGTCACGCGCGCAGTCTCACGACGTCGCTGCTTAGCAACGTGTAGCCCCGCCCCGCCACGGCCTTTACCACGTGTCCCTGCCCAGATGTCACGTGCAGGCGGCGGGACATGATGGGGCAGAAGAGGCGGGGCCAGGCTGGGGTGGGCGGAGCTAATTCGTGGTCAGGCCGCGGGGGGGGACCACACTTGGGCTGGTGCGGGGCTGATCCGGGCCTCTTGCTGGCGGTGAGACGCTGGTCGTCTTGATTGGTGGTTGTTATGGGGTGAAGGAGGTGGGCTATCTCCATCCAGAGGGTCTTCAGCCGGGAGGACGGCGTTGCTTAGGTCGTCTGGGAGCTGGACCGGGTAGTCAGAAGAGAGGCTGCCGTTGTCAGGGGAGGAGTTAGGGTTTTTAGGGGAGGATCTCCAGTCGTCAGGGATGGGCAACATGTAAAGTATTGGAGAAACACAACAGCAGCACCATCTTTGGAGAGAAAGTCAGAATTAATTTTTCAGAACTGGAAGGGGCTGTGGTTGGCACTGGTGCGGCCGGGTTACCAGGGGAGGAGCCTTGGTTGTCAGGGGTGTGGCCAGGTTATCAAGGTGGGAGGGGTGCCTTGGTTGTCAGGGATGTGGCCAGGTTACAGGGGGAGGTACGTTGGTTGTCAGGGGAGGTACCTAAGTTGTCAGGGATGTGGCCAGGTTACCAGGGGAGGAGCGTTCGTCGTCAGGGGTGTGGCTAGGTTGCTACGGGAGGTGCCCTGGTCGTTAGGGGCGGGCGCGCTCTCGCGTGTACGGGAACGCGCGGTGGCAGCCTCGAGTTAGTAGGCAGTGTTGGCGGGTGCAGGTGAGGCGGGGGTGGAGGGCTGTTTTTGGGAATTGAAGCGACCGTTAGTTCCCGTTAACGGTCTCGCCAGCCGGTGGACAAAAGACCCCGAATGGGTGGGAGTGGGTCGCCTCGATCACCAGCAGCGCCCCGTGGGCAGCGAGTATCCGGCTCGATGTGGTTGTGGTGGTGGTGGTGGTGGTGGTGGTGGTGGTGGTGGTTGGGTGTGGGAAGGAATCGGGGCTGCTGCTGTTGTCGTCGTTTGGCCTTTGGGCCTTGCCCAATATTCGGGGCGACTTAAAGTGGGCGCTGATCGAGTTGAGGCGGCGAAGGGGCTCTCCGCATGTGACAGGAACTGCAGCAGACCCACTGTGCCTTTGCAAGTGCTTAGAGCGTGGAGCTGTGCTTGGAGAGAGAAAGGGGGCGGAGTTGTTTTTTCTCTTTTTAAAGCTGCCTTTATTTTGCATTAAAGTGGATCTTATAATTGCAATTTTTTTTAGGACGAATGACTCGTAGGTGTTGTGCTCGCCGTGGTTTCAATTTACAATGGTGCCCACTTTGTAATAAAGTACATTTTTGTTAAATTGCAGGTGAATTGACATTGGGTGGTGTTGGGGTTCGGAAAAAAGATCATATCGAGAGGAGGCTTATAGGACCCATCGGCCATGAATGTAACCAAAGGTGGTCTGGCACTGTTCTCTGCCAATTCATGTACAGCCTACACAGAATTGGCCAGAAAGATTTCAGAGTAAGCAAATATCGATTTTTTTTTTTTAAAAAAGCGTTTGCATCATATATTACTCTGGATTGACTGATTTTTCTATTTAAAAAAAGTGCATCACATTTTAGAAACAACAGAGAATCTTATGTTTTAAAGCATTTTTTAAAAATCGTAGAAGTGTACAGAACAGCAGAGACCCCGTGGTCCATTGAATCTGTACCACCAAAAACACTGCTACCTACACAAGTCCCACTTTCCCACACTACAGCCTTGAATGTAATGACACTTTGTGTTCATCCAAGTTCTTTTTAAAGGTTGTGAAGTCACCCTCCCTCCTCAACTGCTGTCCCAGCATGCATTCCAGACACCTACCACCATCTGGGAGAAAAACCATTTTCTCAAAATCCCTCTGATCCTCCTGCCTTTCATTTTAAAAGTGTGGCCCTTTGTTCTTGACTGTTCATTTAAGGGGAACAGCTGCTTTCAATGCCCCTCAAAGTCTTATACACCTTTATCAGGTTTCCCCCCTCAAACTACTCTGTTCCAAAAAAAACAACCTTATCTTATCTAATCTCTTTCCATGGCTGAAATGCTTTATCCCAGGCAACATTCTGGTGAATCTTCACCACTCATATTGGCAGATGTCGCTATTTACCAATTCCTTTTTACTTCTATTAATATCATAAGCTTGATTTATTTATTTGCTTGTATTTTGCTACAGAGGAATTAACCTACACTTGCATACTTCCTATATAGACCTACATACATGTGCAACTTCATGTGTGGAGTCACCTTGGATAGAGTTAGTATGTTAGATTCAAAATAGTTTACTTCCTGAAATTGCTATTCCATACTTGATAGAAGTGCTTGTACTATATTGTGCAATCAGCTACAATCATAACATTTGCCAAATTATAGGCATATATTCTTAACTGCAAAATACGTATGCAAACTCCCAATATTTTTATTGTCCCTTAGTGAAAGTGCTGCAAACAGAATAACCTATTCTGCAGTGTTTCATGTAAACAAAAGTACAATTTGGGCACTAGATTTTACAGGAGATTGAAGATTCAAACTTGAGTACAGATGACAATGTATTAGAATTAGCTATAATACTGACTTATGTCAACGTATTTCTAGCTTTTTGTCTTATGCTTCCTCCCAAAAGTAAAAAGTGTTTTTGTGGCCTGCCCTCCTTAGTAAATTCCAACCTTTTTCAGTCAGTAGACTTAATACACTTTTATTACATTTAATAAATATCTTAAGGGGCAAGATGTGCATTATTTTTCTACTTGTACTGCTGCAGCATTTCAATTGTGTGTAATGCAGTCTTTTTAAGTAAATTGAGATAACTAGCAGGAATTGACTATAGCATTTTCTTAGTACTTTGTGTTGCACCATTGCTGACTTTCACGACATGGTGAACAGTTGCTCCATCCACTGGTGCAGAATTGTAAAGACCAGGTATGTGTTATGGTACATGAGCCCCAGCAGCTCTATTGTGGGCCCCATGCCCTTCATTTTTGTGAAGTTACTAAAGTAGGCAACATTTCCTGCTCTGCTTACTATCCAGTGAGGCTTTGAAAGTGGGCCTGGGACTTGTGCACGTGTCAAGTGAGGACATGCTTATAATAGCTACAATACTTGAAGAATCTGCCACTCTCCTCCTTTGGAGAATAGCAGATTAGATAAATCTGACCTTCCCTCCTGCTGTTATGATTACATAAGTTATTGAATGACTGAAAATTAACAGAGGGCAGCCAGCGACCATATAGCTAAATACTTAGAAAGCTTTGGCTTCTGTGAATGACCATAAAGGTTGGAGTTTAACAATTGAAAGTTAAAGAAAACAACATGCAAAGAATTGTAGTTTTGGTAAGGAGGTTTGCACCTTTTAAAGTCATTTAACCAGGAGGTAATTTTAAAATAATTGGCACAAGTATTTTGAGGAGAGCTGAGGCATAGATATTTTCGCTAAGATGACGAAGATCTGAAACTACCTAGAGGTAGAAATCCTCATCAAATTTGTGATGTGCACAAAATGCTGTGAACTACAAATCAAGAGCTGGGAAATGACATTAGATGGGATAACTTCTTCAGATGACGCAGGGAATGGATCAAATGGGCATCTACTTTGCTGAGTAATACTGCTAAAGATAACTTTGCAGTTGAATATTCCTGTGTCAAAATGTCTTGGCCAATGTCAGAATTACGCATTATCAGTTTGGAACCTTTTCATTTGGGTGGACTTATCTCTGCACCCATTTTGTTCTTTTTAAATTCAGTCATGGAAACCACTCCCCTTGGGGGTTTTTAATGTACTCCTGAGCGAAAAGTTAATTCTAGACTCTTGTAATTTTTGAATGTGCCTTTAGTTTTGGTGTTGGTTCTCAAAAGATTCTGATCCAGCGGCTGTCATCTTGTACGAAACGTTACTCTGTCAGCAGTTTTTCTCTACTTGTGCTGAAAATATGTGGATTTCTTTGAGGGTACAGAAGTGATAGTGATCCTTGGACTTGTGCACCTCATTAAAATCCTGTTCTGGAGACCAGGCTATCGTGTTGCTTGATGAGTCAGTGGTTTCTTTTTAAAGATTGAATCTTTGCACCCTGTCCAGTCAAACGCATTCTCAATATGCTTACTGCTTACTGTTAATTTGGGTGCAGTTATTCAAATAATTCGTTAGATTTACTCTGAATATAAGGCTTATGTTTCCTCCTGAACCCTTTTTAAAAACCTAATTTTTTATTAATCATTGTGACTTTATGCTTTGAAAATATTATTGGAATGAACCTTTACCTTAGTCTGCCCCACATTTGAGCTTTCTTTTCTTTTGTGCTGAATATGGTAATGTCTAGTGAGGTGTGTCGCAAGTACAGAAGCTTTCCAACACCTCAGTGAGGTCATTAGTTTTCAAATGTAAGCAATTTATTCATCTATAATGTGCCACTATAGGAAACCTGTCACTTGCCTATTAAGCAGCAAGCACAGTTTCCAACAGACGTCATTGAGTGATTAAGACTGACAAGCCATCAATTTTTTTTTATTCCCTACTCCCCTTCCACTTATTAGAAAGCCAAGCCGCATGTAGTGTCTACCCATGTTACCTCTAGGAAATTGAAGAAGCATGTCGTCCAGACAAACAGTCAATTTTCGGATCAAGTGTTCATTATGCTGGACCACTTAATCACTGAGCTGTTGATTAAATGCAATTTTTTTTTTAGTTTGTTCAATCCTATACATGTTCAATCCTATGCACAAAATTGTGACTGCCTGTTGGTGTTAATATTATTCTATAATGGCTATTGGTAATCAATATGCTTTAATGCAGATTTGATAGGGAAATATTAGTTCTTCCTTTCTATCTCTGACCCACTGCTCCTCGAAAAGCGTTATATACTTTTTTAATCTCAGTATCTTTGGTTACCCTTTAAAGACATTTCCTGTGTCTGTGCCCTAATGTTATGTAAAAATCAGCAATATGGTTTTTGAGGAATGATTTATTTGAGGGTTATTCCTCATCTTCAATTTTAGGCGACTTGGCGTAGAACCGGGTAAAGTTCAAGTCTACCAAGAAGCTAACAGAGGTAAGTGCACAATGTAAAATATTTTAGTCGTATAAAGCTTCTTGGGAATTTTGATGCATTGAGGGCTTAGATGCACTCTAAGCCTTGCTTTGTGAAACATAGCACTTTGTGTATAGTTTTTGTCTCTTTAAAAGTAACATTTGACATCGGGTTATGTAAGAGGCGAAATTGCTGCGTCAATGGGATGTGTGTAATTTTAAAGATTATTTGAATTCTTTAAGGTCAACACTGATGAAATAGAACAATTGTTTCAAACCAGAAATGTTACATTTATATTTGCACAGCTTGAAGCATCTGTTAGAAAATGTTTTATAATTCATCCCAGTTAGATTTTCATTTGGAAACTGCCACTGATAACATTGAGTTATATAGTACGGAAACAGACTCTTCTGTCCAATTTGTCCATGCTGACCAGATATCCTAAACTGATCTAGTCCCATTTGTCAGCATTTGGCCCATACCCCTCTAACCCTTCCTATTCATGTACCCATACAGATGTCGTTTTAAATGTTGTAATTGTACCAGTCTCCTCCACTTCCTCTGGCAGCTGATTCCATATGTGCACCACCTTCTGTGTGGAAAAGTTGGCCTTCAGGTTCCTTTTAGATCTTTACCCCCTCACCTTATACTTATGCCATCTAGTTTTGGACTCCCCTACCCTGGGGAAAAAGACCTTGGTTAATTATCCTATCCATGCCCTTCACAATTTCATAAACTCTAAGGTCATCCCTCAGCCTCCCAAGCTCCAGGAAATAAAAGCCCCAGTCTATTCAGCCACTCCTTATAGCTCAAGCTCTTCAATCCCGGCAACATCCTCGTATATATTTTCTGAACCTTTTCAAGTTCAACGACTCCCTTTCTATAGCAGGGAAACCAGAAATGTCCTGTACAGCTGCAACGTGACATCCCAACTCCTATACTTAATGCACTAACCAACAAAGGCTAGAGTACCAATGAGCTCCTTCTTCATCTGTCTACCTGTGACTCCACTTTTGAGGAACTATGAACTTGCACTCCTAGGTCTCTTTGTTCAGTAACACCCCCAAAGACCCTACCATTAACTATATTAGTCCTGCCCTGACTTGCCTCACCAAAATGCAGTACCTCACATTTATCTAAATTAGGCTCCGTCTGTCTCCTCTTGGCCCACTGGCCCATCTGGTCAATGTCCTGTTGTACTCTGAGGTAACCTCCTTCATTGTCCACTAAACCACCAACTGAAAACTTACTAACCATGCCTCATGTTCACATTATATAAATGACAAAAAGCAGTGGACCCAGCACTGACCCTTGTGGTTCTGGATCCATTGGTCACAGGCCTCCAGTCTAAGAAACAGCCCTCTGTCTCCGAACTTAAAGCCAATTTTGTATCCAGCTGTCTAGCTCCCCCTGGATTCTACGTGATCTAACCCTGCTAATCAGTCTACCGTGTGGAACCTTGTTGAAAGCCTTGCTGAAGATCATATAGACAATGTCTACTGTGCTGCCTTCATCAATCTTCTTTATCATTTCTGCAGAAATCTCAATCAGTTTAGTGAGACGTGCTTTCTTATGCACAATGCCATGTTAACTATCCCTAATTAGTCCTTGTCTTTTCATATGCATGTAAATCCTATCCCTCAGAATCACCTCTAGCATCTTACCCACCACTGATGTTGGACTCATCGGTCTATAGTTCCCTGGCTTCCCTTACCACCTTTCTTAAATAATGGCACCACATTAACCAACCTCCGGTCTTCAGGCACCTCACCTGTGGCTATCAATAATACAAGTATTTTAGCAAACGGCCAGCAGTCTTTCCCCCAGCCTCCCACAGAGTTATGGGAAACACGTGATCAGGTCTTGGGATTTATCCACCTTATGTATTTTAAGATGTCCAGCACCAACTCTTCTGTAATAGGGACACTTTTCAAGATATTCATTTCTTCAAGTTCTCTAGCTTCCATATCTTTCTCCACAGTAAATACTGAGGCGATATACTCATTATATCTTGCCTTCTCCTGTAGTTCCATACGCGTTAGGCCTTGTTGATCTTTAAGGGACCCCGTTCTCTCCCTAGTTACTCTTTTGCCCTTAATGTATTTGTAAAGTCTCTTTGGATTCTCCTTAACCCTGTTGGCCAACGGTATCTCACGTTCTCTTGGATGAAATACTAGAAAGTTCAGTGACTGGAATTGCAAATGCTAATGCCTTCAGAAAGGAGGAGAGGGGAAAATGCCAGAATATAGTCATCTACTCCAAAACCTTAGATATAGTAATGCATTTGCATTGCAGTGATCTTGCTGATCTGTTGCTTGGGTATGTTAAGCCAGGGTCAACCTTGTATATTTTGATCTGACACAGTGCAGCTTATTGCTGTGAGAGGTGGGTAAAGCTACAGGTTTTTCAGTGTTGCCACCTGGGTTGCAATCTGGTTTCTCTACTTCTCTCAGTAGAACTGAACTTTGCATCTCATTAGTAAACCAAGAAAATCTATTCTCTTGAGCCTAGGCTCAATAATTGTAAGCAGTGTCAACAATTAGACTGTGCATTACGTTCTCCTGAACAGAAAGGAATAACTTGTTGTTTTTTTAACTTCAGAAACCTCATTGCAATTATTGAGATTGCTCTGGCAATTAGACCTACAATAGTCTGTAAAATATAGTCCTAAATTGATTCATTGGTGTATCTGTTGCACAACCAAATACTTTCAGGAGCACATAAAGCAAAGCTAATGGTCTGTCTGTTGTCCGTACTACTAGACAAAAGTGATAGTTTGAAATGTAAGAATCTACAAAAGTATTCATTATTCAGTGTGTTTTATCATACCAAGCTCTCTTTTTTGTGTGGTGGTGCTTGAATTAGAAGATGCACAAGTGTTTAACATACTTTACTACCACCACCACCACCACCATCTTCATTCCATTTTCATGATTGAAAAGGTTGACAGTATCTGGTGAACCTTTGCCAGTGTGGTTGTGTAGCCAGAGTGCATGTGTGTGTTAAAAAGGTCTTGCAATTGGTGTCAGCATTTTATTTTAAGTTTTTGGGCCAGGTCAAATTTAAACTGCAGGATTTTTATTTGGGAAGGGAGATGATTGAGGTATAGGTTACTTGTCACGAGCACAAATGTTGCTGAGGCAGTTAACGTAAGTACAACAAAGTTCCTAAACAACATCCGACTTTGTATTTCCTAAAACGTTAATTTACCTGAGACCTTTGGTGAAACCATAGCAGCTGTTTTGTATATAAAGTGTATATTTAAATTCAGTAATGAATTATCAAAGGAAGACTAATGTATACTTTGTGCACACTGACATCTCCAAAAACAATCTACTACTATGATATTGTAAAAAGTAAGTCATATGTAAAACACCTTTTTTGTTTGTTTTTTAAATCAACCTGTTTGGACATGACGCACCTCCAGGATGAGAGTGATTTGACCCTGGATCTTCGGACCCAAATGTATTGATACTACCGCTTCTGCCACGAGACCCTAGGAGCATCTTTAGATGGCTTGAGGATGTATCGAGACAATACATAAATTAGTTGTTGCTTCGGTATCTGTTTTTTTTAGTTTAAAAATTTTCAATTCACATTATTTTCTCACCAGCTTTTGTGAACTCAAAATACTTTGCCAGAAATTTTCCACAGGAAAGTGTTACCCTTAACCAGGTGTTGCATAATTTACTTGATGTATGCTGTTTTGACTGGCAAGAGGCCCGATTTGAAATGTTTGGGCACCCATAATCCACATTCCATTAAGCAGCAGCTCACAGCAAAACATTGCTCGTATTACTCTCCTCCAACACTAAATTGCCTTTTTGATGAATATGTGCTTGTTTTTAGCTTCGTGCATCTCCGGCACAGTATCTTCAATTTGCATCCAATGATTTACCTTGAATATACTTGCCAGAGTTGTTCAGGCTGCAAGAGTATTTTTTTTCCATTTTTGTGCTTATTCGTAAGGTGCAAAATTTTGATTAGGATATGCTTGTTAGAAAAGGCTTTTTTTGAGCATTCTAAAACAAATACCCCATTTGCTTTGCAGTTAGGAAAAGAAATCAAGAAGGACTTTATCCCATCAACAGTAGATTTAATTATAATTTCTGAAGCAAAACTACACGTACACGTCTGTATGAATGCTGATTGTGAGATCACAATGTTATTGTTCACATTTTGGAATTGGGCTTTGCCACATTGTGGAGGAAGTCTTTTCACTGTCTGTTTATTGGTACTAACTGGCTGGTTGGCTGGCTAACTAAGGCATGGCATGAAAACTTGTTGGAAATTGCTGTCTTGAATCATAGGCCTTCCTAGGTTTGTGTAAAACAAAGTGTGGAGTAGTTTTTGTTTTTACTGTTGTGTCAGTTTATGAAGTTTCTTTTCTCAACTCTTGCATTCATGTACGTTTCCACAGTTTATAGTGGGACCGTTGGTAGGAATTGGTGTTTTGTCCACTATAAGAATAGAATGGTCATATTGCATCGAACATGCATGGATATTTTGAGAAATCAGCAAGTTCCTATAACCTAAGAAATAGCAGCATAAACCATTCAACTGTTCTGCCAGTCAAGATGTTCAAGCTGATCTGTTCTAACGTTAAGTTCTTAGATCCTTGGATCATTTCTCTGACAGAATATTCAAGAACCTAATCAGGTTAAGGGAAGTAGTTTGGAAGCATCTGTTAGTTAAAGTGAAAGTACACTCTTGGAAATAAGGAACAATGGATGTATGATGCTAATTCTAATTGGACAGCTGTGGCTGATAGAAACCCAATGATCCTGCAAATATCTGCTGCTCACAATTAGGTAAACTTTCATCACAACATTTATTACATTTTAGAGATTTTATTACATTTGAATAATGAGTGTGAGTTATATTGATGGGTATAATATGACTAGTATGATCTGACGCTGCTTGATATAGCTGGTATTGTTATAAGGCTGTGCCTTTTATAATTGACCTTAGTGGGAATAGCAAATAATTAGTGTTGTTTATAGTAATTCCTCATATTGTAG